AGACTGAGAGGGGACTAGGTAGCAGCTTACCGCTAAATTGGGGACGTACAGCAAGGGCTCAGTGAACAACTGTTTATCAGAGCACCCTTACGGAAAACCAGGAGTAATGGTCACAAACTCCTAGAAGACTATTTCAGGCTCAACATTAGGAAAAACTTCTTCACTGTTAGGGTGTCCAGACTGTAGAATAAGCTCCCTCCAGAGGTGGTGCAATTGCCTACCCTGGAAATCTTCAAAAGGAAACTGGACAGTCACCTTGCTTGGACCTGACCCCAGTTGTCTTTCCTGCTTGGTGCAGGGGGCCTGGACGCAATGATCTTCTGCGGTCCCTTCCAGCCTCACAATTTATGAATCTATGAATTAATATAAAACAAGCTTGAGTATATATTTTTGAAATGGTAATAATGTATTTCTATCAGACTTCTGTTCTGTGTCTTCCCCTTTTGTGAAGCTCAAAAAGGGAGGTACATTTTCATACAGCAGCATGTTACTAGTTCTTAGAATTAGAGCACTTTTGAAACCACAGGTTTTTCAGGCATTTACATCAGTTTACTGATGTGTAGCAACTTCTTCAACAGGAAGCCAGCAGAAATATAGAATTGTAAGATATAAGATAGGAGAGAGAGATGTATAGAAATATTATGTTCAAAGTTCTCTTGCTTTGAATCTTCTCTTTCTTTGATTCAACCTTCCTTGATATAAGCCTGTGAGGGGGGTGGTTTGTTTGTTTTCAACATCACACATTGGCCTCCCCTAGCTCTTTTCTTCCTTCTTGCTCCCTGTAAGCCTTAGCTGGCCACACATGAGTAAGTGCTACACAGCTTGCTTATGTCAGTTTTCCCACTGAAGCCACAGGGACTGGTCAGGTAAGTGCTACACAGTGTGAACAGAAATGGCAATTCTTATTTTGTCTCCAGAGCAGTGATGCTCAGTGTGTTCATTAAAGCCCAATTCCTGGAATCGTTTAAGCACAAGAGATTCCCAGCTTTCATTTCAACTCAGAGGACATTGCTACCCCTCATCATTGTGGAGAATAATTGAACCACCCCACCATGCTCAAAAACAGAGGGCAAATTAAAATAGGAATATTTTTTGTTTCAAATCTCATGGTTTTAAGGCCACAGGATTTTAACTGGTTAACACTTTTGGTTGGCAACAGTAAAGGAATGAGGGCTGCCAAGTGTTCTCCATCAATTGCTTTCAACACCTATTTCTATCCATGTTTTTGCAGACAATCCCTGCCTTCTCTTTGTTCCTATTTGCATTTTCAATTACAGAGTTTCTTCATTTCAGCATATAGCTTGTCTCCCCTTCTATATTAAACTACTTCTTTTCTGGCAGCATTTCAGAAGTGGATGTTGCACTGCATTCATTACAATAAGGAACTAAAATATCTTACAGATGTATGTATGTTTTTAATAATTAAGTACAAAAGTTTTTCCCTTATAAAGGTGCTGTGGCTGGAGTACAAGAAGAGAGAGAGCTGCCAGCCACCTGAGCAATCATAATACTCTCCTTTATCTAGTATTCCTGTGCAGAGAACATGCAATCAAGTGCATGCTATTTACAGCTTGTCTGTAATGCTACATCACGTAAAACATCCAGCCCTCAAAACTGGCTAACCTTGTTTCCCTTTTCGGCCACATATACTCACTTGGACACGTGCTTTTCAGGTCAAGACACCAACCTGCAGTACCTCCTCCTCTTTTTGGGTACTAAGATAGGATCTTCACTGCTTCTGGGCTCATCTGCAGCATGCCCGATGGCAGTTGTTACTGTGCCATTACTGCACAGTCCTGGCTGCGCACAAGTCATTTCCAACCGTATTGCACAGTAGCAATGAGCTAGTGCACAGTAGCATTGGCATCACGGTTCGTGCCCACTGATGCTATATCGCTGTAGCAATGAGCTACATTGCAGTAGCTCATCGCTACAGCAATGTGGTGTCTCACGCAGACACAACCTCTGTGTGGAATTGGAGAGAGTCCTTATGCTTCTTTCCACTACTCGCATATTGTCAATTATACAGCATTGGCCACTGCTTTTGTTCCCCCCCACTGGAATTCTGTCTTCCGGAGAAACTGTCAGTGGTACAGTGTTGAAGTGCCTCAACACCCTCCAACTACCCAAATTTGCTTTTATGCAGCAAATACTCTAGAGCCACATAACTGCAAGGCTAGGGTTAAGCAACCTGGACCCTTATGTGTACCACCTAACAAACTTTGCTCATTGAACCAAGGTGCCACCTCCCCCATTTAGGTAATCTTCTGTTCTATAAGCCTTCTTAGTGCAGACTGGAACCTCTTTTCTCTCTCTTCCCTGATTTCACATCAGTTAGCAAGAAGAGGGGATAATTTTCTACCCATCTCAGCAGAGAACTCTGTGGGAGAGGCAGCAGGAAGAGTTCCCACTGCCACCAACAAAGGTGTCTATATGAGATAGAAGACCACCGACCAGAGCCAAGCCAGGATGGCTTTACGAGAACTGAAATTCTCTAGAAACATGGATAACAATGGAGAAATGTTAAGCTGAGCTTTACTGCATCAGCCAAAAGAAAGATAGTCTAAAGGTAGCCTGTGCCTTGAGAAAACAGAGAGAATTTTTTTTTATTTAAAAACATACAGTTAAAATAGTGCTGCCGGTATGTGTTAGATGTGCTCCAAACATGCCTAACAGATTGGGTCCTTCCACAAACTTAGGTGAACATTTTGCACCACTCAGTCTCATATCCGGATTGAAATGGAGCTTAGACAGGAGTTAGACACATAGCTACTCAGACTAATGCAGAGAGTTGGGCATGCTCAGAAGCTTAAGTCTAGGCAGCTAGGGATCTTTCCAGTGAGTGAGTGAGTACCAATAACTTTATGGGGCTGTGTAGTGTGTTGCCTGTTTAATAAAACTGTTATTTGGACCCCGAAGTTGGGTTCTGCTTTACTATGGTTTGGCCCTGCTGCAATCTCTGCTCCTCGCCCCTCTAACTTCTGTCTCATTTCTCCCTCTCCTGCTTCTGGCTCACCACAACCTCCAACACCTCTCCTGAGCTCCTCTCTGCCTCCAAACCCCCTGTTTCTTTGCCACTGTCTTATCCCCACTGCCTTTTCCTTTTCCCCTGAGCAACCAGGTTTCTGCCTCAGTTTCTTTCCTGGCTGTCTCCTCCTTGCCACCACTTATCTGCCCCCCCTCCCCCAATATCTCAGCTGTCTGTCTCAGTTTCCAGCCCCAGTCTACCTTAAATAAACCCAAGCCTCACTTCCTCAGCCAGCTTCTCTCTAGTCCACCGGTTTTAATCCCGGTTCTGGCAACTTTCACTCCCTACACTTTAATTCTCTCTCACCTGAACCTTCCCCCAAGTAAGCACATACATACATACTGTACCATCCAAGTTAGGAACTTACCTATGTGTAGGTGGGTTGTACGTGTGAGAACTGGTGAGTGTGTGCGCGCGCATACACACACACACACACATATATATATATATATATATATGTAATCTCATGTGCATGATATACGAATTAGTGATCTGTGTATGTGTACTGAGTGTGCGGGTATTGACAATTGATTTTTGTCTAATTTTTAGTGTGTAGCGTGTATGTGCTTGAATTGGTGATAGGTATGCATGTGCCTAGGCTGGTTTGGATGTGTATGTGCCTGAGCTAGTAGTGTGTGTGTGTGTGTGTGTATGCACCTAATTGATTAGTGTGTTTCTATATGCGCAATTGTGTCACACCCTCCTGTCTAACAGTGCAATATTGAGATCCTGAGAGTTGACCTGACCCCACAGGGCAACACTTTAAAGAGGGAAAATCCACATTTTTTCTGTGGGGAATAGAAAACCAGGATCCCTGGTAATTAGCACTACTAAGTTACAAGAGCACTGTGTTATCACTTGTTGACATTTTGCTCAGCAGAAACGTGAAAAGAAGCACGCTCACATTGCCAGAGACTACTGTCAGAGTTACTGGGGAGCTACCGACACAAAGGGCATACAAATATACGAATGCTGGGGAGCTGCTACCACTTAATGAAAATGACCCTGAGCATCATTATGATAGAAAATGATAGTTACCAACAGGAGTGATATCACTTGAGGTTGTTCCACAGTCACCGGAGGTTCTCAGCCCAGATAAGCACATACTATAGAGGACGCTTTCCCCAAACCTCAGATGTATCACCGGAGAATCTCTCAGACAAGCAAGTCGGAATAATCTGAGCTACAGAGCTGCAGGATGCGGGGCTCAACCAGAAGTTGACTTGCCTTCCCCTAACAGCAGCAGTGCTGCTGCTCTAGGGGTACATGGCACCTCCAAATGATAGCAGAGGGCACCTCAAAGACTGACCGAACACTGATCTAGCCAGAGGAGCAATTAGGATATTTATAAACATTAGATCCACATTAGCTTTTGCTGTGTTGTCACTAACTTTTGACTTGGAAGGGATGCTACGGTACTGGGAAGCGTGTCCTTAAAGGGTGAACTACCCCAACAGAGGCTAGGCAGGACACTGTAAAGGTTGTGTGCAGCCAGGTGGAATCAGGAACAGCATAAATCAGACCTCTTGCAAAGCACCTTAGACACCAAGTTAGCAAACACCCAACTTCCCTCTCCTCAGTCTAACTTAGTTACTTCAACAGTTCCCATCCCCACAGTATCTGAGTGCTTCACAGTCTCATTCAACACCCCATTAGGTAGCGGGGGGAGTTCTGCTCAGGAAACCCTTCTTTTACTTTTCTACTTTCCTCCTCCTTTTTTTTTAGACTCCACATTCATGATTGCTCCCACTTCACCACTCACCTTCTTCTTTTACTCTGGAGAGCAAGGAAAGGAGTGAAAGAGTGAAAATGAGCTGTTGAGCGATGGCTGCAGTAGCCTTCTCTTTGCATAGAGAGAAATAATAGAAATGATAGAACTCTTTTCACCTCCTAGACAAACTGGAGCAGGAAAGTCCCCCATTCCCGTGAAGAAACTGGTGTAGACAATGGAGCCCCATGGCTCAGTACTTACCCTAGAGGCTGGAATGGATCTGCTTGACAGCTTGCATGCACAGGCTTGGAGAGGCATGCCAGGTGGGGCAGACCGTTGCACTTGTCTCTTCTGCCAGGCTCCGCAACTTTTCCTCACAAATCATTAGAGACAGGAACAAAATATTATTTTAACTGAAGACAGAAAGCCTGGCATCATTTCCTGACTCATGGAGCTGGGTCCTCAGCATGCGTCTTATCTTGCCTACATTTTAATCTGACCTGCTCAGCCATAGGCTCAGTCTCAACAGAAACAAAATTATCTATTTTCAATTTATTTCTGTTTCACATTTTCTTGCCCTCCCCGACTCAGGACTAGTTTGTGATCAGCTAAACTTTCCGCAGTCTTTGGAATGAAAGACTGTGATTTGAAAAACAGAGGAGCAAGTTTCACTTACTTCTCTTCCTGAACTTCCTGGTTCTGCCCCTTCTGTCCGGGAACAAGACAAAACCTAGTAAACAGCAGTACATTGAGCAATACACTCAGCAATTGGCTATTTTCTCCATCTGTACCAAGAATCAGGTTTCTTTCCCTCCTACGTTTTAAAAGCATTTGTTTAGAAATAAGTGCAGCAGTTGACTTTACACAGAAGAGTGTATGGGAGTTTCATGTACTGCCATTAATCATTTGGGATAGGAAAGCACTTAATTCTTCAGTATTGCCTCTCAGTGTAATTCAAAACAGAAAAAATGCGTATTTCCCAGGAGTGAAACTTTTCAGTTGAAGTCCCAAAGAACAGTTAACCTGTGAAAAACAGGAACTAAAGGACTGCAATCAAAAACGAGTCCAGCTTCATTTTCTCCCTATTTTAGATTTGATGTAGGGTGAAATCTGTTTGTTTCTGACATAGTTTAAGGTTTTGATGCGTTAAAGGGATCAAGTAAGATTTCCTAAAATTAAAATCTGCAGCTGAACTTGCTACTTCTTTTCAAGTGTAGCATGGCAAATGCATGCAGATAAACCATCAACTTGTAACCAATTCACAACAGGAAACTGAAACAGCTCATAGCCAACATTCCACATTGCCGCACAGACGGTGACAGCACTGGACTCGAGTCAGCTGCACAGAAGGGGTATTGCAGCAACTGGCTGCATAGCATGGGCAAAGGCACAACCATGTTTTTGCAAGAGTGCAATAGAAGCGTTTTCTAGCTGTCTGCAAGTAATAATGCAAAACACCAACCAATTTAACTGAACACTGTTTCTGAAGGGGTCTTGATGCACTGTTTTCATGGTTTAGTAACTGTAGCTTCCTTTGAGCTGAGATCAGGGCACTCCGCAGGGATGACTGATCAATTTATTTAACCTACATTCATTGATTGCTTAGACCTAGTGAAAAAACAGGGGAAGAGCTGGGCAAAAGAATGGAAAAAGTCTCAACTACCAAGCTGCAACATCAGCCAACTTCCTTGATATCTTGCAAATAGGACAGACCAGGGTACAAAACACAGGGATTTCTCTAAGCAACTTCCTAAAATCATGGACAGATGTGAAATATTCATATATTCCTGTTACTATTTCCCAGCAGTCTCTCTGCAGTCTCTGAAAAAGTGGTGTTACACAAATTGCCAATTGCTCAAATTACGAGTGAGACTTTATAAAGGGGGATAAGGCAAGGTGCCGCGTTTATTGATTACGTGAGTTAGACATAAAGGTTCAGACACACCATTTATACAAACACACACAAACCATCATACATATTATTACACACAGGCATACACATACACAAAACAACCATTTCATCCACACACACTAGATTTAGTTACCAGCAATAGTTGCTCAGTATCAGCCAGGGTGGCCAACCCGGGCTTATTGAGTAGATGAGATGATGATTTGAAGATAGCAGATTTGAAGATAACAGCTGGAGCAGGGTGAACAGATGCATCTGTGCTCCAATGAAACAGCAGTAGAGAAAGAGACTCACCCGACTTGGCATTTTCAAAGTGTTCTTTTATAGGGATTGGCATCCTTTGTTTCAGTGCTTTAGGGTTTTTTCATACCCAGCTTCTGTTTTTGTGGCTGTTCTTCTTGTGTCTTCAGCTTACCTTAGCCTTGGAGTGTTCTTGTTGCCAGTCTGGCAAAATTTCTTCTTCTGTTATCTCCTTTGTGTCCTCGAGCTTCAAAGGGATTCTTCAGCCGTTTGTTAGTTCCTTACTGGCTAGTAACTTACGTTTTGTGCCTTGTTGCTTACATAAAGTTAATCTTCTCTGGTCTCTATGCCATTCTCTCATCATTCACCCTTTTACACATACTCATACATAAAGGCTATGCAGGTCGAGCAGAAGGATACAAAATGCATTTTTCAAGCTGCTTACAGAACAAGACTAACATGGTTATATTTCACTATTATTACACTCTATGTTAGCATCAGCTACAGCAGTTCAGTTCATGCTACAGTGGACCCATAGCAAGTTACTGGAATGCTGACATAACATAGCAGGAATATGTGGCCCAGTATGTAGCAATGAGTAACTGAATAACTGCTCCAGAGGCCCTCAGTAGCATGCTCTCAAAGGGCATTTTTACATGTGCTCTGGGGTAGAGGAAAGGTGCTTAATGACAGCAGTTCTGAGAGCCGCTCTAATTAAAGTGCCCAGAGCATCTCATGTATCAGCATCACCACACTTCAAAATGGTGGCTGGGGCGCTTTAACAAGCTTTAGTTAAAGCGCTGTACCATTTTGAAGTATGGGGACATTGATACATGAGAAGCAGGGGCTGGCTGAAGCATGGTAATTACCATGCTCCAGCAGACTCAATTAATCATGTAATTACAGCACACTGGAGCAGCCTCCAAGCTCATGTACAGGCACCCAAAGGGACCCACATTAGCCCAACTTCTCTTCAATATCTATGTGGGAAATCTGGGAGAAACACTAAAATCTAGTAGCATAACCCAGAGCAGGGTAGGAGAGGCAATTGAGGCAGTACCCCAGTTAACTGAGCCCATTACCACCATTGACAGGTGGGAGGGGAGGCACAAAAGCTGCAGTGGCAGCAGGCTGTGCTGCTGCAATCAGCACAGCAGAAGCTGGCACCACCCCATGCATCAGTGGCTGCTCCGGGTGCAGACTTACTTTGCTATGCCTCTGGTAAAACGGCTTTTCTGCCACTAGTGTGCTAACCACATTTAACTACATATTTCATTCTCATTCCTGCCTCAATTTAAGCCTTCCCACTGTCCGTTATTGTAGAAGGGATCAGGGCCGAGTGGCTGCACAGGGATGGGGCCTGCATGCTGCATGTTCAGCGGGTGTCTCACTCTCTTGCTTTCAAATCTCACCTGCCACAACTGGATGTATTTAAAAAGAGATATAAGGAGGTAATACATGCTTGGAGAGAATATGCTCAGGTTAGCATGGGTTGATGTCGAGGTTTTCTGTGGGGCTCCTCCTCCCTTATACCCTACCCCTTTCCACTCAGGGGTGCAGTTGATGGGTACACGTTCAGCCAGCCTAAGCAATCGCCCTGTAGCTCAGACACAGAAGAAAGCAGCCGAGTTGTCTGAAGTCTGCAGATTTTGGCTGTGATTGTTGAAGTTTGCTGCAAGTTCTGGGATCACCCGTGTAAAGAAGCAAATAAACTTAATAACTCAAATGATCATGCCCTAGGACTTTCTCTGGCCCTACGGGTGTTTTAGTCACCTTCTGTCAGGCAATCTCAGTCTGGCAGGCACAGCCCTGTACAGGCTTAGTCTTTATGTGCAGGCTTGCCTGTCCTAGGCAAACCCATGGAGTAATGTGGGCCCAGGAACATCATGAACCCTGGCTTAGCCCCTAGAGGTACCTCGCTCCTCCCGGCAGCATGGTTGTCTGGCATCAGTCTGGAGAATTCAGATGTGCAAAGTCCTGGGCTCCTGCCTCCATGGGGGGAAGTGATGAGAGCCCTCATCTGACTATACATTCCACCTCTCCTGGCATCAGTGCAAGCATTTGTAAGGGTATCTGAGTCGGTGTGAGCCAATCTGGCCTCCTGTGCCCCCACATGCCCTACTGCTGCCAGCAGATGTTAGGGGCTCCTGAGGTGTTCATTATCCCCTGCAGCTGCTGCCTCCAGGCCCCAGGCAGTGCTCTGTGTGCCGGCTGCCTTGGGGCTGCAGCCCGAGCCCACATGGGACTGGGATTCTGATCCCCACCCAGATCTGGGTGCAGGGTTCAGGAAATGCCTGTTGTGCACCAGCTGCCTGTCCAGAAGTGCTGTGGGGCTTGGCTTGGGAGTGCAGGCTTGCTGTTTCCCCACAAGTCCGGCCAGGGATCTGCTGACCGCGGAATGTGTCAGTGGCTGCCATCCCAGTAAGTATGGGGCTCAGCTGGGCCCCTGATACAGTGATATAGCAAACCTCCAAGCCTTCCCAACCCTGTCCTTGGGCAATCAGTAAAACCTACAAGGAGGGTTTTGTCCCCATAATGGAGATGTTCCAGAAAAAATGGGTCAACCCACCAGGGTGATGGGGGTGGGGGGTCCTGTCACTGAGGGAGCAAAAGAGTAGGAGGGTAAAACTAGCAATCAAACCAATGAGTCAAGTCAATGATCCCCAAAAGAATTTTTGATCACCCACAGGGGTGCAGCGGAAGTCAAGAGACTTTTCTTTCTTTAGCCAAACCATCAAAAAAGGCATGGGTCTGTTTTACAGACTTGGAAATCCGATGCATTTGGAGAATCTGAACTTGGCAGCAAACCTGTCTTGTGAGGTATTTTCTAGGGGTGTGCGAAATGCGCCATATTCGATTCAGATTCGGCCTGAATCAGGGACAGTGATTTGATTCATTGATTCGGATCACTGTCCCTGATTCAATTTGGCCAAATCTGAATCTGAAGATTCGATGCTGAGTCAGAGAATCAGTGATTCGGCCACCGACACAGCTTTAAATGTTTTTTCTATATACTTCGAGGTACCAGGTGTGGCTTGTGAACACTGTGATACTGGGGCAGATGGAAGGCCCCACAGGAGCGCGGGGGGGCACCCTCATGCTTGATGGCAAACCCGGAAGTGGACCAGAAGTACTTGGGGCCCCCCCCAACCCCCTCGGCTCAGCAATCAGCCATAGGGGAACCCGGGTGCTCCCCCAGACCCAGGAGGCACCAGTCATGAAGCTGGAGGTGCCCCCCCCGCATGCTCCCCAGAGGACCCAGAAGTGTTTCTGGTCTACTTCCGGATCTGCTGCCAAGTGCGCTGGGCACCACGCTCCTGTGGGATGCTTCATCCACCCCACCTCTCAGCATTCACAAGCCCCCTGCTACCTTTAAAAACATTTAAAGCTCTGTCTATGGCCGAATCGTCAAAGCTTTCCGAATTTCTCTGAATCAATTTGGAGGGTTCCGATTCAATTCAGAGAGATTAAAGGGTTTCATGATTAGATTCTGTTTCAGAGATTTGGCCACCGAATCAGGCTGAACCTCTGCTGAATCAAATCAGTGAC